TGGCATGGCTGGCATGGGCATAACCGACGGTTACTTACCTTGCAACGATGTATTCGACCTTTACCCAAGCCAACCTTAACCAGTGGCCTCTTCAGAACAGTTTAGCCTTTCAGGGGATACTATTGCCCATCCTATTTTGAGCACCTTGACTGTATAATTACACGTTCCATTCTGAGAATCCAAGAATTGCGTGGGAGGGATGCCCGGTCAAGATACTGAGAATTACCCAGGTTCGGTCAAGTTGCCTGGGATAACCCAGCTCATTAAACAACAGGAATATCCCCGTTCGGTTTACCTGGAGCTCCTAATAGGGCCTGTCAAAGGTTACTAGTTCTACCATTCGCTGGCTGAGAATAAGTGGAGTTTTTTCAGGGCTCCTGTGTTCAAAAAGCCACTACAGAACATTGGTGTGGCTGAAGGAGACTTCTGCCGATTTGAAACTCAACTGGCTCCGATCAATGATCCATACATGAAGATTGAATGGTTCAAAGATAAGAAACCTGTGTTGCTTGGTTAGTTTTGCCCTGACCTTCTAAGTGGAGCCTAAAAAACTCGTCCCTTCACTTCAGGTCACCGATTCCGATCGACTATGGACTTTGGATTCGTCTGCCTCGACCTGCTCTACGCTCTTCCTGATGATACTGGAGAGTACACCTGCGTTGCGACGAACAAATACGGTTAGGCCATATTCATAACTAGACTTTAAGGAGTGATTTACCTTTTGGAAAGGTTCTTTTTGTAGGCCAAGCCATGTTGACAGCAAAACTCGCTTGCCAAGGTGGTTCTCATGTAATCACAGAGAGTCAGATGCCACAAGGAATGTTGGTTTCCTCCGTAAAGAAGGACAACAAGAAGATCCACTGGTAAGGAACTATCCAGATGAAGGGCGAGTTTAAAGTTTGGGAAAGAACCCAGTAAGCATCCTGCCACTCAGCTTTAGACTTGGCCTTTGTTTCAGAGGGCCATGATTTGTTCAAAGGGAGGGGTAGAAGAACCAGGCAATGTCCTAAAAGAAATGATTTCAGGACGGAACAGGAACAAACGCAAGTTCGAACGAAGCAGCCTCCACAGTTCACTATCAAGCCACGCAACACTCAGGTGAGATTCCTAGGGTGATACCCTGATTACGGTGGATCGTCCCTATGAGGATTGACCGTGACTGACTGTGTTCCAGTAGGAACTCAAAACTTCCTCGATTTGGTGATAGAATGTCCTATCGATCTGGGCCCATACTTTGACAATTTTTTCCCCACCTGAGGGCAGTAGGGTTTGAAATTTGATTTCCGTAGTCCAAGCTCCACTTTCTCCCAAACTACAAGATTTGCCTCCATAAGAAGGTGGTAGACGTAGAGGGGTCGTGAATATCTCGGTAAGTAAAAATTGCAGGTGGTGGAGAATCAACCGGCTCGATTCGAATGTGCTCTTGTGGGCAACCCGAAACCAAAGGTCACATGGTACATCAACGGAAATCAAGCGCTTCATGTAAGTTCATGGCGTACACCTTCAATAACTGACAGTAGGTAATGGAATGTTCAGGGCCATCGCTACAAACTGAACTACGACGGATTGCATTACTTGACGATCAGCAACTGTCGTATTTCCGATGCCGGCGAAGTGTTAGCTATTGCCAGAAACAGCGAGGGTGAAGTGCAAGCCACGTGCACGCTTGATATCTTCCAGGTTTGGGAGAATCCAATGGCAGAAGGTAGGGTTCTGTGTCAGCTGAAGGCCTCCCATACTGAATGTTTCCCATTCACAGGAAACTCTTGGCAAACTGGGCGAAGCGTTCGAAGCTGCACCGAAACCCGATGCACTCAAGCTTATGGAAGTCGAAAGGTGAGCGACTGCTTTCTGGCTTGGCCCTATTCTTCACCTACAAAACTAGGGGTCCTTCCCCAATCCGAAGACAGTAATGTCAAAGGAGGGTGGTCAAAAGGTTCAGGAAACTACGCCCACAAAAATCTTCCTCTTCTGGGAGCAGTTTTTTAAGATATAACACTATGTACTCTCTACTTTTTACGTTCAAGGCTTCGTGCGCCATTCGAACCGCTCGAAACCAAAGAACTTGTGGAGAAATTCACACGACCTCGAGACGACCAATTCTACAGCCAGCTCTCCTACGTCAGTACACATTTACTTGTAGTTTTGTTGTACTACTGGTACTCCCAGAACAACTAGTATAATCGTAACTTTCTCCAGGTGGAAACCCAGAAACCACCCTTCAAGGGCATGGAATTGGAACCAGTACAACTTAAACCGGGTCATATCGAACGATATCAACCACCACGAGAAGAAATGGAATCTGTAGGCCATTTTTTGATGACCATTTTGAAGAATTACGGTAGCGTTTCGGGTAATCAATACTGATACAGGTCGATTTACGTCCTGTACCATCAATAGAGAAGCCTGCACCTCAACCCGAACAACCAGATTGGGCTCANCCGGCTCGAGACCAAGTTGCCCTGAAAACCGCCAAGCCAAAGCCCGCTTCCGAGGTCTGGCATTTTCAGTGGCCCATTTTTAGCCACCCCATGGGCTCTAACTCAGCTCCTAACTGTATCTTCAGGTTGAAACTGGCGAACATGTACGAATTGCTGAAGAAAAGGCGAGGTTGAAGGCCGTACAACAAGGACCTGAGCAGCCTAAAGAGGAGATCATTCCACATAAGCAACAAGTTGAGCTCAAGGTAAGTTCAGGGCCGCCAGACGGGATCCGCGACCATTCCCTTGGCTTATTCCAGTGCTTTTTTGCAAAAATCGCTATTTGGAGGCTCAACTCGTCTCTATGCAGCCACATTTCTTGCTTACTAATGCAAACCTCCAAGCCGAAATCATATCGAATCACACAGAATCCCAACTTAACGCTACAGTATCCCTACTTCCCAAAGCACCATAATCCCTCTCCGCCTTCCCAACTGATACAACCTTACAGACGAAATTCCAACCGATCATCGCGAAACCAGGAGAGAGCGTGAAACTCGAAAGCAAACAGCTCAAGGAAATACCACCAGTGGAGAAGCCGTTGATCGAGATGCCGACCACGATCAGCAACAAGGTAAGTCGATGGTGCCGCCGACGGAGTAGGCACCATCAGCTCAGCTGCTTGTTTCTCAGCATGATTTGGACTGTGTGGGTGTGCTATGCTGCATGATAACCTGATCTTCACAGTGCCATCCCATCGCCGTTCCACATCGCTTCACTCGGGATCGTTTGAATGAGATGTTTTTCGTTTGTGAATGGTGTGGTTCTGAGCTTACAGCACGAACATCATCATGTGATGTATCAAGCGTATCGTGAATCACGTACCGACATCGGTGACATCGCTATGGAACATTTGTCCATCGACCTAGATGAACATGCCGCCGTCCAACGTACCGTATACGAATTCTCGCCAAGACCACGTGAACGTATCGTCAGTTTCCATATGGTCCGGGTCGGTGACTATCCATTTCTGCCTATTTAGCATGTTTTCTGAACGTTGAAATAATTCCTTTTGAGTGAAGAATTTTTTGGTTTCTAACGGGTTCACATTAACTGTCCAGTACTGTAGCTTTGTAGTAGCTGAGTAGCAGTGAGTTGTTACTTACTGGGTGATCTTCAGTTGGTAAATGTGTATGTGTTCCGTGTCCTTTGAACTCCCATATGGGATCCATTTTCAGCCTCAACCAACGAAGATCGGCGCCTCCAAACAGGCCCCTCCATCCGTCTCACAGCAACTGAAACCCATCCAGGGCGAGCCCGGAAAGCCTGCGAAGTACGTTTGCCCTTCAGTCGGTTCTTCAGCTGGGACTTCTTTCTTGCTAACGCTGGCTTTCAGGTTCTTCGTTGCCTTCGATGGTGCCCTACCCATCAAGGTTACCTGGTTCAAAGACGGAAAAGAGATCAAGAGCACATTCCGACACCTGGTATGACGTTATTTGACCCTGTCGGACCCTTAGAATCCGATTGCAATGAAATTCCATTTCCAGATCACCACCACCGACAACAATTCCACCCTACACATTGGCCGATTGGAGAACAATCATGTTGGCCAGTACACGGCTCGTTTGGAAAACGTTGCTGGAACGGTGCGACCCTCTTGTTGGTGATTTCCTCCCATTAGTGCGTGAAACTTGGATTTTGCAGATCGAATCGTCCGCCAACCTCACCCTTACGGCTCCAACCCAGAAGGGTAAGGCACCCGATTTTGCCACGAAACTCAACGACCTGCGAATTGTCCAAAATGCTCCCGCTGTGTTCACGTGCAGCATTGTCGGTGAACCGAAACCGATCGTGAACTGGTTCAAGGTAATGGTCCCTGTTGTCTGGGCGGAAGTCTTTCGTACACATATGGTTGCTTGCTTCAGGACGGACAACCTTTGCCCAACACTGGACGCTTCCAAGCCACCGAAGCCAATGGACAATATAGACTTTCAATCTCAAATATTCTGCCTCAAGACGTTGGCATTTATGAATGTGTCGCTAAGAACACCGCTGGAGAAGCTAGGTAGGAGGCTGGTGCATGGCTTATCCAAAAAGCGCCACCTTGATCAACCACCTTTCAGGTGCAAAGCTCGGCTAAACGTGAATCTGACCCAGACCGGTAAAGGATCTGAGGAAGGACCACGATACGAGGCACCTCGATTCTCCACTCAAATCCAACCCCTGGTTGTCGATGAGGGCAAACCAGCCACATTCACAGCGAAGTTCAGCGGATTCCCAGGTAACTGAACCTTTGTGGTGCCATTACTTCCTTGCTGAAGTTAGCATTTTTCAGCTCCGGCTATTCGATGGTACCGTAATAACGAGCCTATCAAGCGATCCGCTGGTCATGAAGTAGGCTTTACTCAACCTTTTTCCCATACCGCAATGGGAGAGCGTCCCTGTTTCCAGATCACCCAAACGAAGGACGAAGCAAAGTTGACGATTGCCGCTTGCCAACAAGAAGATGTCGCCGAGTACAAGGTCGAAGCCAGTAACCCCGCGGGTAAAGCGTCTTCAGTGGCCAACCTCGTGCTCACTCGTACGTGCTTTTTACTTTTGATTCTCCCAGAAACTTTCAACTTTTCGATGCTTCATCGAGGATGTGTACAGTTATTGATTATTTATCGTAAACAATCGATAGGTATGCCTGTCAAGATGAAATGTAGTATAGCCGAGAGTTACAGCAAAAGTTGGCCGTATCGCGAAAACCACTATAACCAAGGGTGGCATGGTGGCCTACGATGACAAGCCTGCTTCGGATGCTCCACACTTCGTATCACGATTCAGTGATATATCCGCTCGTCAAGGTGGGTAGCACTGCACTCGTTAGATCCCGGATTGGACGGTAAGAAGCACCGGGACCACCGGGACTGTGCGAGAGGTAACAGTGTCACTCGCGTTCAGGTCACACCGTCAAATTCTCCTGCGACATTGATGGTAATCCTATGCCTACGGCCGAATGGCTGTACAATGGAAAGCCTGTGACGGCCTCGAAAGATATCAAGGTTCGACGATTTTCTGAAGCGTTTTTGACCTGAAAAGTCTATAAGTCCATGCATGTGGATCCCGTGGTGATTTCGGAATGCATTCGACATGTGGAGTTGCCATTACGGTACATTCATGATACGGTAGGACGCATGTGCATGTGACGATTTTGATGCAGCTCTTCACTGAACATGGACTTCATACACGGCTGAATTGTGATATGTTTAAACTAACTGTTGTGTGAACAGCACAGGCACGCGACCACCTCATTAAAGAGCCCCTCAAGTCTAAGATACCCACCTAATGACTGCTAATTGCACATTAAATGCATGCCTCACAAATGTATGCCGGGTAAGAAGCCGGGAGGGAATAGTGTAGAACGTCGAGCTTGGTCTTAAAGCGCTCTGATGACAAATGCTGCTCCATGGCCACACAGCCATACTTTCACTTCACTTTCAGGGGCTTTTCCTTTCAGAAGAACTAACCAAAGGGTACCGTGTTCCGTAAATCTACATCCCAGAACGCTCGTACCAATCCTTGCTCCTTTGCTTCAATCTATCCTTGGCCACTTAGGACACGTGCCTAACCTAATCTTCCAATTAACTTGTTGTAAATAAATACCCCATTGTGTTGTGGTACATGTGACCAAACCTAGGAACGGTTCGGTAGTATTGTTAGTATATTTCGAAAAAAAATACCGAATAAACAATGACAACAGCATATTTTCCCACGGTACCAGAACTACCAGGAAAGCTACATTTTCTCCTGGGATTACTGTACCATACGGATCAGAACTACTTGCTGTAGTTTCTTTCCTGGTTGATTCAGGACTCCGGACGACCCGTTCGGAGGGGCAAAGGAAGGTCTGACGCACCAGTCAAACGCATCCAGTGGCCGTGGTAGTTCTGAATAGATGGTACAGTATCCCCGGCTACAGTAGTCTCGCCGTGTTTGCAGTGACACATCCATGCATGCCAAGCAATGTATACCTTCTGAACACTTCTTTCTGCAGATCAGTCTCGAGGGGAAACGCGCCGTACTGGAGATCGCTCGAGTGACGCACAATCACGCCGGCGAGTACCAGATCGTGATCCGAAATCCCAAAGGAGCCGCCCAACTCAAAGCTCGTCTCACTCTAAGTGAGTCTTTTCTATCTTTTACAGATAGGTGATAAACGATGAACCAGCGCGTCCCTCTTTCCTATCCAAGAAATATTTCCAAAACTCATCGGTTGCCGTTCCATTTCGTCCCTAACTGTTCTTACTATATCCTCTTCTCCAATTCTGTCCTCTTTCTATCTGCCTGCTACAGTAACTCTTCCACGACTAACCAATCGATTATTGATTTTCAGGCCGATAACCGCCAAATAGACGCTCAATCAGTTACTGTCTCAGCCATCATGAACTATTACAAAGTACATCTGGTTACTATTGTTTGTATTTATTACGTCGTATTGAGGTATTCGCGTGCTTCGGGAGCGCTAGAGACACTCCTCAGCTAGCACAGTTGTATTTGCTTTCGTCCATATTGTTGTAAATATATGATCGGTGTGAATGATTGATTGATTGATTGTAAGTTACGGTATTATTATATTAGGATTTGCTTGTTTTTTATTTACTTTTTCTTCTTATGATGTTGTTACTCATTACCTTCATGCTCAGTACCCTAGGTACCCAATTTCGAAGCTCTAGTCAGTCAGTGCCTTTACCCGTTGTCTCTTCGACCTGAGTGCCTTCGTTTACGATATGTGTGAATATGCAGATCACTGTCAGATTGTGTACGTCTAAGTTGCTGTATAAAATTTATGCGAAAAAATGTGTTAAAATACAGTACTATATAAAAATCTAATAGGAAAACCCTACGGTGACATGGGAGGGCTCATCCGTCCTAAAGGCACAGTTCCCGATGGGAATGGTTTTTGAGATTTCCTCCTAGGATGGGCCTGTGGCCTCCGAGGACGCAATCCTCAAAGTCGCATCGAAGAACGATCTCGGCAGGGCGTTATAAGGGCTACAAAGCGGACTTGGCTGACATGCACACCCAGAAGTGGCCGTGTTATAACGCCTTGTTGAGGCTGCACCATCCACAGTGAAATGTTAGGACGCCGACGAATAGCACGCTTATGTGGGAGACACCTAGACGATCACAGGCACATGATCTCGTACTCCAGGTCCTTCAGAAAGGTCGTGAACTGTGCCTTTGAGTTACGGTTCCTCCAGTATATAAAGCCAACCCAATTGGATTTGGGAAAAATGTTTGTCATGTTGGCTGTCATTAGAATAGTGTTTCGTCGCACGGTCTTCAACGAATGAAAAGCTTTCTCTTCTTGGCTCTACTTCTCAACTTATCGGCGCATTCGCAAATCGATCCGGACTTCTCCTTGGTCACTATTTGTCTATCGAATTCCTTTGTCGAGTCTGTAGACTCAATCTAAAACACTCCGAATGCCGTAGCCTGATTTGAAACCGCTTGCCATTGTAGCGTGAACGAAATCGGCTTTGTTAAGAGAGCTTTTATAGCCCTGAGATTTCAACAGACATTCCTGGGCGTCCTGCCCAACGCTCCCTATCGGGAGCTTTCCTAGGTATAGCGGAATAGTGCCGTACATTTTATTTTTTTTTTTTTTTGGCAAATTGGTACCCGCGAGTAGCTTACCAAGCTCTGACGTGATGGCTGCCTAGACTACGGATAGGTAGCCATCTCGTCAGCCTACCCAGAAAGGATAAGGGGCTAGCATTTCATTGGAATATAAGAAAGTCTCTACCGATGTCTTTCTGCTAGGTCATCTCTTCTGAAAGTACACAGACGTGGGGGAAAGCGAAAACACCTACCCAGAAAGGATAAGGGGCTAGCATTTCATTGGAATATAAGAAAGTCTCTACCGATGTCTTTCTGCTAGGTCATCTCTTCTGAAAGTACACAGACGTGGGGGAAAGCGAAAACATCGAGTACACCGAAATTGTTTCGATCGCAAACTAGTACAGTTAGTTACGTCACGGCCCAATTTCGTCATCTTGGCGGCAGAGCAAAGTATGCAAAAATGGAAACAAACATGAGGGACCAAAACAACGCGGAATTGGGAAACCCATCGCAGGAAATTTCCGTGAATTCAATGAGAATTTGCGGACACTGCGTATGTAATGCATAAAAATAATCTAACTCAAGGAATAACGGGCACAAGTGAAGGCCGATTTGTTGTCTACAATGTTCACTTACCCATAAAGAGCTGGTAGGTGAAATCAAGCATCGACTGGTGAATTGAATACAGAAGCTGGACCTTGGACCTGTTGTTGACTTCTCCAGAAACTACATGTCGGCTGAGTCCGTTGACCGAATTTCTTTCAAAGCATTGAAGATTGTCAAGGATTTCTTGCAGAAGCAGAAGTTCAAACCCGAAATGATGCCTGTACTAACTAATATTCTCCACCACTGGAGTCATCCGCTACTTTTGAAGCGGATGACCCAATTTTCCCAATTTTGCTCTCCCATTCAAGCCCGTCCTCGCTCTTCCTCCCATCCCACATTCACTTCCCTACTTCATGCTACATGTCGCAAAAATCCATTAGCGATGTTGAAAATCGAAAGCGAAGTAGGAGCAATCCACCCTAGTTCCCATAGGTCCTCTGCTGAAATTTTAATCCTCTTTTATTACTACAGATTTATTACATAAAATACAACAGCATGTACACAATAAAGGCATTTGATGAGCATTTCACGAATAAATGAATACATTTTAGAAATAGCATAGGTTTCAAAACTGCTGAGTCTCTCCGGGTGGTGGGGCTGACGACATAGGGGTAGGTGATGATTTTCCTTCACCTAGATACCTGAACTGTAAATACTAATATTCAACAACTTCATTTGGGAGTTATAACCATTTATGAAAAGTATAACAACGACCGTAGAATTTTTTTAATCTCAAACGTATTTCTTGATCCGCTTGAATTTCACGGGCATAAGCCTTCCTTCCTATTTTTTCAAACCGTAGGTTTCGAATGTAGGCGTACGGTAGCGCGATAAACAGAACCTCCTATAGCATAGGGCGAACGCCCGCCTCATCACTCCCACTCAAAACAAGTAACACTCGACCAAAAGTAATATAGTAACGTCCATGTTGATCTACAATGTTGTCCCCAAAATGAGATCCTCAGGTGCAAAATGATCTTCTGAAATCATCAATTCCTCATTACATTTGCTTTGTTTCAGTGCTCAGAAAGGAGATCAATAGATGGTACCGCGCCTGCCTCGCACACCGCGTGCATGCTTGTGGCCGTGGGAATTTGGGTGCAACGTCCACTACTTCGGGTTGCTGTGGCGCCAAGGTTGTGCTTATACAAGTTGCGTTCAGCTGCAAATTTGCCCATTACACCGAATGAGCAGAAATTAGTTGGGAATGACTTTAAAACATTAGTAGGGCCTGCCTTTCATCAAATGCTTTGTCGCCAGGCATCCTTATTGACCGTTCAGACAGAAATTATTTGATTTACTTCCACGAGACTTACCCAGGACCCATATTTCGAGCAATTGGTGTACGTTCACCCGGATGATTGCTACCATCGAGATGGTGGTATTTGTTGTGATGAGCCACCTGAATAAAAACTTCGTTTGAACGGCTCCTGAGTTTAGAAAAGTGCATCTTTTACCCATGCACTTGTTTCTACTACCTATCTATGTAGAATAAATCTAGGGTCGTTTACCCCATGTTGAATACCAACACCTCCCACTACCATGTAGCCTTTCTGGCATCTTTAGGTTCGTGGGGACTGACTCACCTGGTAAACAATCATTGCAATCAGAGCAACTCCCATGATTATGCAAAGTGCCAATAGAATCCATGTCACCGTCTGCCAAGCGGACACTCCTGTTATCCTGAACTAGCAAAATAATTACATTATAACCTTCTTTCATTATGGAAATTGAAAAATGGCGGTGGGATAGATTGAAAACAAATGTTTGTGGTTGTTCTGCGTGAATGCATCCATGAAAAGGGCAACTTATGGGCGATCCCACTGATTAAAGGTACAGGTGAAAAAACGATTTCCGAGGTTTCCGACTAGGACGAACCTGTGGCTCATTTATTTTGTATTGGGTGCTACTTGCTCAAAAATCAGCTTAGACAGGGCGTAATAGGGGGCTTAAAGAGCAACTTCGTTGACGGCCACACCCACGAGTGGACGAGTTTTCAGGGTGTTACAGAGGATGTACCATTCACATGGGACACCGATGTTGGAAATTAAAACAGCTAGTCCTGACCCATGGCGACAGCGGGAGGCAACATTTTGTCATGGTAATCCCAACTAGCGCCCTACACTCATTACTTTAGAGAATCTTCAAATTCTGCAGATTTTCTCGCTTTCTCTGTGCATTTTCTCAAGCGTTCTCATGGAAAGTAAAGAAAGAAAAAACGAAAAATTCGAAAAATCCTTACTCGTCCAATACTGTAGCTCTCGGCTCGACTAGAACGCTGTTTTGCCGCTTAGCTTTTACCTGCAACAAGCTTCCTTCAAAACAATCTGACTGATTGTGCGTGGATGATCATAATTGATAGTAGCATATTAGGGGAAAGCATAATACCAATACCTTGTCCAAAACGTCTTCAATTTTGTCCATGGCGAAGGTAGTTTTTAAGCTCTCTTCCAACGTGCTCTAAAAATAATTTTGGACGAATTTNTGTTTCCGAATAATTTACCTTTAACTTTTCTTTGAGTCCATCCCGTTTTTCCATAAACTCTGCGTATTTCTGCTTCAATCTTTTTTCTATAGCATCATAGTCGCTTTTTCTGGACTGGAAACACAAACTCTTTATCAGTGCCATTGGAATCTACGATGAGAGATTAGCGTGTAAGTAGTATGAGTTATTTGTAGTTAGGGAAGATTCATTACAGACATGACTAGTTTGGCCATTAGTCCTGACAAATAAGTCTCTCTTCCTAGAACAGTACCACGATTGAGAAATAAAAGCCTCAGAGGATGAAATCCTGAGGGGTTGACTGATCCTGTCTGAGAGATGCCCCGTGCATTCGACTTCCATTCAAAATCGTAGGGTCTCATTAAATGCGTGTGTAGCCTAGACAATGGATTGCAGGGGCCTGCCCATGCTCAAGCCAGTGCTATTGTCCTCCCAGACGAGGCTGGTTCCATTCTGAGCAAAAGACTCTGGCCTGCCTTGACTTTTAGGGTAGATTTTATAGATTACGAAAACAATTGGCAAGCTTATTTTCTGTTGGGGTTGATTTGACTAAAGAATCTAACCTCCTTCTGATGCTTCCTGCCCCCACTACTGGCACTACTGGAGCCATTCGATGCCTCCTGGATGCATCCCATTTCCTCCATTTTTTCTTGACAAGCCTGACGATACTTCTGCAAATAATTACAGTTGTCAGAAGCTGTTCTTCTTTCCAACTATAACTAATCACCTCCTGATCATCCTTTTGTTGAGTCGCCCTTTGCTTCTTTATTTCCTCGTACTCTAGCCTGAGTGCATTCAGTAATTGTTGTATTTCCTGGAAAAAACTCGCAATTTCACTGCTGATTTGCACACCGATATCCTCAGATGATACCTGGATCCCTGGTGATATATATGTATAACCGTTCGCTGTAAAGAGTCAAGCCCAAGTACGCATTCGAACTTTTGATTTAGTTTGAATGGAGAGCGACAGCGGCTTACGGAAGCCAGGTTTTCTTCGTGTCAATCCTCACTTAAGAATTAACTTTGACACCAGCTAACTGGCTTAGAGAGGTAGTGGCTCAGTTGGCAAGGGTCACTGGTGGACCGCGCAAATGTTTATGGTGTCCTTCACAATCGTCGATAGCCCTATCCTTGCAGGAGTCACCTTGATTTTAAGTTCGAGCATCAGCACGAGATCAATTGTGTTTGCCTTCCGTAATCGCCATCCATGGAGGATTCACAGGTAATTTAGGAATGAGAAAAGATGGTGGTTTGAGAATTTGCTTGGCCCCTGTTCGCAGTAGCTTTGCGGGACGGGTAGGGGTATGGGTATGGGTATGAGTGACGGTATTTCATCTAGCACCAGTTCCCATAGAACATGATAATTCTACGAGATTCACCTAGATATTCAATTGATTCCGACCATGAGGTGAGCTCCCATACATTTGTATGTATTGGGTTGTAACATAAGTTCGTAGAGTTTTGCGTTAGAGTTGTTTTGCGACGAATTGTTTTGTTTTTCAGCAAAATGTATACATTCATTCGAAAGAGCTTTTTCTCCTCTACAAGACTGTTTTATCTGTTTTTTGGGGAGTTTAATTGTTCGTCTTTTTTCTGGCTCAGAAATGGAATATCTAGGAGGAAAAAATCAGCATTTTCGACATCTGCTTTTCTTGCCGAAACAGCTCGGGAGATATGCAGTGTGTACAGGGAAGGTGTCTTACATAGGTGTGTTTACTGCACAAAAGTGGTTCGCAAAGCTTGAAATAGGCGACTTTGAACTTGAAGACACGCCTCGAAGCGGACGACCTGCAGAATTCGACCAAGAGCGTCTGAAGGCACTATTGAAGGAAGATGGTCGCCAAACAATTCGTGTATTGGCTGATTATTATAATAACTTATTTAATAATTTATTATTGCAACTATTGCTTTTTGTTCAGAGAAATCTTTGTGAAAAACTCTACGAACTTATGTTACAACCTAATAGTTCATAGAACCGTGAAGGAGGAGCATCATCAGTCAAAGCTGCGTGGTCCCCCCTACCCCTTCACTGCAATTTCTACCAATTCGTAGGTAACCTTCTACTTGCCATAATCCTCTCACTGGCTTTTCCAGCACGCCGAACTTTTACATTGATGCTATGTGTACCTGTGAATAACGACTAACCATTTTCAGGTAAGTATGGAAGTGCTTGCTTAGTAGATGAGAATATTCGGAGACTTGTTCGGTACCTTTTCCACCTCAGCTATCTTATTTTCTTTTTCCTCCTCCCAAGCGACTTTCGTTTCATTTATGCCTTGGATTAGATTCTTCCAATCTTCGTAGGCCTGCTTTTTGTCGGCGGATTTTTGGTCTTTATAAGCCTGAAATCAGTATTTACAAAGAAACAATCAAAGAACGTGAGAGCAAACTGCTCAGACTGGTCCAACCTAACCTTCTCAATTTCACGAACTTTGTCAACCTTTTCTTTCAAAGCATCCTTGAGGTTTTGTACTGTGTTTTGTATTTCTTGAGATAATTGGTCTTTCAGCTGATCTTTCTTGTCTCTAGAATGTAAAAACTTATTCATTATCACATTTCCTTCAATGGTACCGATGCTTTGGCTGTAAACCTGAGAACCTTTGCTTTTGAGTACTTGATCCGCTCTAAAGTTCATGAATATCACTTACTTTGCCTCTGATATATCACTCTTGATTTCCTCTGCTAAGGCTCGATCCACTTCCATTATTGACTGAAAAAGGAAAGTTTTTTTTCTTAATCTGCCATTTTTGCAAGAATGTCAAACTATTGTGAGCCGTTGTACGTTAAAGGCACAGTTTACGGTGGAAGCGGTTTCTGGGATTTCTCCATAGAGTGAACCCGTGACCCCCGAAGATAGCACACGAGAAGCTGTCGGGTAGAAAACGGCCCAGATAGGGCGTTGTAAGTGCTCCGAAACCGAAATTGACGTAGACACCCAAGGCGGATGAGCTATCAGCGTTGTAGGGGCGACACTATTCGTGCTGGGACCCACACGTTGCACGCAGGCAGTTTACTGTAGCCAGCTGTATGCAGTGGCGCACACATTAGGACAACTCGCCCATGAACCCTTTTCATGTTTTTTTTTTGAAGCCTTATTTTTTATATTTTCTCTATAAACATCAATTAGGAACTATCACTCTCACAACTCGTTAGCAACTAGATACCTAAAACTATCATGAAATGTGCCTTTAACTGACCAGTATGGCTTACCTTGAATAATGATTTAGCATTGTTCGTCTCCTCAAGCACTGCTGCTCGCCATAGACCAACAACAAGCAGTATTGTTAGAATACGCATCTGAAAGCAAATGTTCTTGGAGTAGGATTCAGACCCCTAGCACCGTAGTGAGACGTCAATTCGAACAAATAGGAGATGACTCGAATGAAGCACACTCAGTGTGCAGCACAGTTCTGAGATGAGACGATAAAGAACAGTCCGCAAGCGGCTCTTGTTTAATCTCGGCATGATCAAAGTTGTTGTTCTTCGTAGGCTCATTCTGCCGACAAAGAGCTACTTCGTGCAAGGTCAGAGAACAGTCCGCAAGCGGCTCTTGTTTAATCTCGGCATGATCAAAGTTGTTGTTCTTTATAGACTCTTTTTGCCGAGAAAGAGCTTCTTCGTGCAAGGTCAGCTTCGTCGCTATTGAATCTTAGCCAATTTTTATCAGTAATTTGAAAAAAAGACCGTGTGAATCCTAAATTCTGCTTTACGGCCTTCCCTTCAAAGAAGGCGAGTTAGTCGAAACATCAGCCACCCATGAATTTGCTGGTACCAACCAACAGGTTAAGACATTGTCATCAATCCAACTCCAAAAAGAAAATATAGGGCAGAGGTGATGTAGTAGCAAATGGCACACCATCGCACATCGTCATGGATTCGAGTCCTAGAGCGATATGCGCCTAGTCCCACAAACCCTTCCGCTGCTTGGTTACAGACTCTGTTGGGAAGGTGAAAGACTGACTTGACGGCTGTCCACTGCAAGTTATTAGGGCATATATGCATTCAGTAAGGCGCTACGATTCTGAAGGGAAGTTGAATGAGAGGGCGCACCCCTTAGAGGGGGTTGACTAGGACTTTATCCTTTATTCCTTCAGTTCTGAGGTAGTTCATGATAGGAAAGGATGTCAATTTGAAATTACCAGAATATTTGCTTGCGGTTGTCTAACCAGATCAGATGCAGGTGTCTAAGGTCATCAATGGCATCTGGTGATAGCTTGTTCCGAGAAGAGAGCAGCTTGGAGTAAATGGGGCATAATTGTGGATTGAGAATCTACTCATATGTTGTCTCACCAGTTACACCATGCACCTCTGAGCGTATACCTGCCACTGGCGAACTTGAAACCCTTTCTAGGATGCTGAGAAATAGCCGCTTTCAGCCCAAGGGCCCACGACACAAAGCAATAGCTGGATGTAACTTCGGTGACTGGCAAATCACGTTCAGCTGGTCTCTTTTGATATTCCAAAGATAGGTCCACGCCTCATATCCCGGATATTAGAACTATGGAAGTCCAGAGTAGGTCCAGCTTCTACCCACTTAGTCCCCACTGTTTCGAATTGGCGTTTAGTAGTGAATGTTGTACTTTTGAGGCTTTGGGCATGAACCTTAGCATTAAAAGTAAGCAATTCTTTGCAATTTTGCTCGGTTCTGAGCAATTCGAGAACACAACACTATTGGGAACTTGATCAGTATGTTTTACCAATGAGTTCATATCAAAAAATGAATGATTCGCTGCGTAGCATCTGAGCTTCACGATAACTCAAGTCTTTCCGGCCCAACAGGGTTTGGCTTAGAAGCTGTGTGACGATGGTAGTGAGGGATGCTCAAAGTGATTTCCTGAACTCGAAAAGGCAGTTGTTTACGTTCCTGCAGTTGTCTAAGACGTTCAAAACATCGATAGTTTGAATGCCAGTGTCAATGCACCTTGGAGACTTTGCATGGTGTGGTAACAACCTCCATAAGCCTTTTGCTTCAAAGTACTCCATAACAGATAACAATGATGTCATACAATATGGTATGCAATCAAGGCCAATCATATCAGCCATCACTTGACACACCGAAGCATGGAACCACGTTGTTACCTTCTGAAGACACTTTGCAGAGGTACTGTATTTTAGTAACCGACTAGTTCAGTAACTGAATAACCGCCACAGAATAGGTACAAAACTTCCAACGAGCAAATGATGCCATCTTGGAGGACTGTATCAATCCCGACAAAGAAAGAATGGCACAATGCGGAGGGCGGAAAAACGAGCTAAGTCAATAGCAGGGGCTGGGGTTCGTTGGATGTGTACTACTTCGCCTCTCAAGGGTTTCGGAGGCACACCAGAGCTAAACGTTTGAATAAGATGAACAGAAAGGAACAAGAATGAGGTAGGAAGGAAGCACGATCATGCTAGTGTGATGTCTTGAATATGAATTCTATTGGAAATAGACAAGGGTGAGGTTTGAAAAGGTAATGACCATGACCTAGCCAAAAGCATCCGACGTCCAATGCTCAGTCATCAAAACTGTAGTATCAAATCAGCAATCACGAGCGGTTCGACGGACCTGTTCCATGTGATAACACTGTTTGCTGTGGTATCCAGGTAACAAGTCACACATCAATATATGACCACAAACAACATTATCTCCTCCAAAAGGGAAAGATAACACTCCGCAAGTATTTTGGTAGCAAAACAATGCTACCCCCGTATTGAATGATTGGTTTAAAAATTGTCAGAAAAGGCAAGAGTCTTCTTTTCAGGATACTCTCATAGCAATATATGTGCCCCTATCAAACATAAATTGGAGTTGTACACCAGCACCAGTGTCCGTGCAGACTGTTTATCTTTTGTTATATGTAAACAATATGTTGACCTACAGATAAAGGATGAAGGAGGAACACTTTTGCAGTTGATAACTCTTTCTGGTGTATGCGCCCCCACATTCGACTTCCACTCGGAATCGTAGAGGCCT